CATACATATGTACATATGTATGTACGTATGTACATGCATATTTTTATGAACATTTGTGTAGACTGAGTGAGAGAAGCAAGGCGAAAGATTTACCAAATCAGCGAACGACCCGAAGTGCAAAACAAAAATAACAATAAAGAGAGATGGCAATAGAGCAACACCCAACAACAATAACAAGACAAAAGCTGACATAATCGTAGAACACGTTGACGTTGTTTTTGTTTTTATTTCGGCTTCCTGCAACCAAGTAATTGATGCATGGGTAAGCGAAAAAGAATGAGAGGGAGAGAGAGATAGAAAGCAAAAGCACATCATACGATGGTAGGTGGGCACCAAAACAAAAACAACAAAAGCGACAAGTGGTGAGCTCCACCAGAGAGCAGAGTAAAGAGAGAAAGCGATTGGGGCAAATTACAATAACAATAATAACTCTACCGCTGAGCAAAGAAAAGACCGGTATGACCACGCAAAAAGCGTGGAGAGAACCAAAGAGCGCACAACTAACGAATGAGCATACAAAAGGAAAACAAGCAAACTGAACACACACAACAGCTCTGCCATATACATATGATATGTATGAATGTTTGTACATATGCATGGATATGTATGTATGTATGTGTATGTACTTATGTATAAACACGGCACGCACACTAACGAAACATCACGTAGGCCGCTGACGTGCTTTTTGTTGAGGGCAACGCAAAAAACGAGGTTAACGCAAACACCGACGCACACACTCACCTTTTGTACACATTGTGTTCGCCCGATATGCGAAATACGTTCAAAAACAAACAAGTGGAGAGGGTAAAATGCAGAAGAAAAAAGGTTTAAAAAGAGCACATAACAAAATAACAACTACTTTCGGGGCCTTTTGTTTTCATTTTGCATTAGCAAAAGATTAAGCAAAATACAAATTCAATTCGAAATTTCTTGTTGGGCTCTTGGGGGATAAGGCGTTGCCATATGTTAGAAAAAATGACACACAGGCCACACGTTGAAGGTGCGTGTGGGCGTATGTATGTATAAGTAGTGTGTGTACATGCTCGAGTTGTGGGTATGTATGAGGCGGCACGTACGCAAAGACAGCAATAGATACATACATATGTATGTATGTATGAACATACATATGTACTATGTACAAATACATTTACATACTTTTAGAAGCAGTAACTAGAGCTTCCTAAGACCAGCATACATACATACATATGTATATAAAACCACTATTTCTAGCAATTAATATGTCTAAATACTTGTGAATACTGTTGAATTCCTAAAAGAAATACATGCAATTTTATTATGAACATGTGTACATGCATATGTATGTACATATATTCATTATTTATCAGTTAAAAGGACTGTGCAATATTTCTGTCTTTGAGAATCTACCCGGCGATCAAGTAGATTTACACATGTACCGAATGTTCGATTTTTTGCACACCTTATCTGACATATTGTGTACATTTTTGTCTGTCGCTTCTCTACCAGCTAGTCTACTAAACACTCATCATACTTAGATATACACAGACACACATTCATCACAGAAATATGGCTGCCGTATGAATAGGTATTGTCGCTCTTTCTCTCTCTATTTTTCAAGTGAAACAGTTAATTCGCAGTGGACCCCCACATCGACTGGTATACAGACAGTCAGACGAAAATTCAAGCCAGCCAGCCACCCACAATGTGGCCCCATAGTCCAACATTCACTCACGTCATATGCACACACACATTATCACCCATCCATCAATACGTATGTATATGTACATAAGGGACATGCAATTTGCAGCTGCTGTTTTCAAATTTGTCTCCGCCACCTTTTTTTTTATTTTACTCAAATGAAATGGCAAAAAATATTTAAAATAATACAAATTCAACACTGTCGTCCACGCTCTTGCTTTGTTTTCTTTTTGCTAGGCGCTTGCAGTGGAAGTTGAAACGGTTAATCAACGCAATGTAATTCAGCCAGCTATCACTAGAGATGGAAGTTCGGATATAAAGATCGATGCCTATGTACGATGCATCGGATGAAAACATGCAGATAACTCTTTTAAGTTTTACAGGTAAAGGTGTAATGATTTTAAAGTTTTAAAAAATGATCTTGCAGGTTTTAACTGATGTACATAAATATGTATGTATGTATATACGCGGTAGATTTAAAATTGAGACTATTTTACACGAAACCAAACAGAAAAACAGACGTGTAGATGAACATGGCTGTATCGATTCGGAAAAAATATGTTGTGTTCGGTTGCAGGGTATACAAATCATTATGGCCGATGTAATGATGTTTTTTTAACAACACTACTTGGCACCCCCACAGCCCATCAACAATGAACTAATAAAAACATTTGTACATATGTACATACATACATATATTCATATGTACGTGTACATGAGTTTCACATTTACCTGAACAGTTTGCGTTCAATTTTATAAACGTGCTTTCATCGTTTATTTTTTTGAGGTTTGTCATCAACATGCTCTTTTATTCCCCCACCCGTTCGACGAAGCAGCAACCGCAGCAGCGACGCAACGCAGCTGCTTCAACTTCTACACGTCAGCAGCACTGAACTCGGTCAGCATTGTAGCGGGAAGCGGGGGTGTTGGGCAACGGGCTGAAAGGCGGGCAACGGACGTCACAGCGCTCATCGTTGTCTCTTTTGTTGTTCGCTCGTTCGCTTTGCACAACGTTCTATTTTGAGTTGCATTGTAGTGGCTGCTGCTGCTGCTCTGCTATCTAGTTTTTTTTGCTGCTGTTGTCGCTGTTGGTACTGCTGTTGCAGCGCTGCACTAAAGTGCAATAAACGTCATCAAGGTTATATGCTGCCGCAGCGCTGCAGGCGTCGCTGCGTCTCGCTGACAGTTTATTAACATTTTGCCCGTCTCTGCTGCTGCTGCTGTTTATATTTTGTCTTTATTTTGTATTTTCTGCGCTACTCTGCCATTGTTGTTGTTGTTGCTGCTGGCGCTGTTGCTGCATTAAACAATTTATCGATCTGTTCGTATTGGTTGTAAAAACGTTAAATATGCTGTCGAAATAAATTACACTGTGAATCATTTTTGCATTTACTTCTGCTCTTATTTGCCCAAAGATATCTCTCTCCCTCTCTTCCTCTCACTTGGCTACGTTTCATACGCAAATTGCGAATGGATTTCTTCAATCTGTCAGTTCCGGAAATAAGTTGCGACAACAAAACAACCGTTGAATCAGCCATTGGATTCGATACCTATACTATATACAAATTACTTAGAAGTGTATTCCCCAACGAGCTAGACAGACCATTCCTTGTTATAAGTAAATTGCGCATCTTTCTATGTGTTTCTGATAGTGTAAATAATCTTATCATAAAGTACTTATGTAAGTACTTTTTTTTATTTATTTAGTAAACATATTTCGGCATATAACAATAGAGAGAATTTAAACAGAAAGCAATCTGAGAAGCAGGAAACAGTGAACAATGTTTGTTGTTTACCTGAAAGTTGAAACTTAAATTTGAGATAGTAAGCTTTAGCTCCCCTATCATAAATTGAGCTTGATAGCTGCTATCAGAGCTAAAATTCATCACTGTCTCGGATTTTGATCGGAACGAAAAGAATCCCGAGAAACGAACTACCCTTTGTGTTTATTCGGCATGCTATCGCTTCTGAATTCGATTAAATAAACATTGTTAATCTGTTCTTGGATTTGAAAACGTTCTTGTTGAATCTAATATTACACCAATCTTCTTCTTAATTCTTATTATGTTGCCGCTAGTTGTCTCTGTAGGTGAATATTTTGTATGCAACTTTAAACTATTAAACTTCAGTTCAGTATAATAAATAAACACACAATTTCAATGGAATTTGTTTATGCACTTTATACACAGATGGATATGTATGTATGTAGATATGTATACCTATCAGCATGTATAGCACCTACTTATGACTTATCTCCTATGTGCGTATATACATACATATGTACATATATGTCTGTACATTGTATATAGTACTTTGAATAATCGCGGCTGAGTAACGTGATGTAATATTTGTTATTGACTCTATGAGGTTGATGAAATTCAATAAATGGGTACACGTGTATGCAAAGTATATAAAAATCCAAATGATTTTATGATTCTAGGCCTAGAATGATACGTATCGATATAATAATGCAAAGACTGTATAATAAGAAGTAGTGGAGCTCTTCTTTCGAAGACCTAAATGTTTCTAGCGGGCTAAAGATACAAATACAACTCCTTAAAGTGGGAAAAACAGCACTTGAATACTTTGTCCAATCTAACAATGTTGCAGAATTATGGGAACGATAAATCCCAAAAAGATGGTCTTAATATCATGGTTAAAAAAAACTATTAATTTGATTTAAAACATAAACCGCATTGCAATCCCACGCTCTAAGCGAGTAGAGGAGCATTCCAAGTATCTGGTAGATGCCAGATCTCAGAGCTATGGGAATGCAGCTGTCGCTTTAAGAACAATGTAGTAAGGAAATCGTTTCCACTCATTGATACTTTAAGCATGGAAAACATAAAATGCAAGTGCAACGTTCCACACTCACACGCACACAGAGACACACACTCTATTAAAATATCATAATAGGGGAAAAACATGTACATGTTTGTTGAATATTCTAGAAAAGGCAGCAAGGCAGAGCAGAACACGAAAGGCAAACATAAAATACATCAGGTGATAAAAGTGACGCACACGCAAGGGCACCGAAAACAGCCAAAGGAAAGGGATGAAGGCGAGAGATGCATGTGGCGAGTGTATGAAAATGTTTCTGTGCATGTACATATGTATGTGTGTGTGGAATTGGGAACACTGTTGGGATGGATAGCAGCTGCAAGAACTTTCCACAGCGCACTAAAAATGCGCACTAGCCACAGTGGGTAGCAAACGTTTTGATTTGCATAAAAATTGTAAAATCGAAACGGTTCACACAAAAAAACAAAAAGAGAGCAACGGAAAGAAAGGAAGGCAGAAAAAACTTGAAATTCAACACTCACCTGATTGACTCTGACTGCAGCTGTTGTCCGTGTTGCTGCAGGAATCGCCGCCTACGCTGCTGTCGCCACCACTACGTGCATTGTTGTTGTTGCTCTTGGGGCCGTTGCCGCTGCGCAGCGTACTGGCATTTTCCTCCTCCAAAATGCGTTCAACCATTTTAATAAGCGAACGCTTTTCGGCAACACTAACACAGTTCAGTTTTTTTTGCTACTATTTCTCAACACACACGCACAGTGTTTCTTCTATTTCGTTGAGAATTTTCCGGTCGCACTCTTGCACCCTCCCCTGCGCTCGCTCGCTAATAAGAAACAACGTCGACGTTGACTGCGCTGTCGCTGCGGCGTTGGTTGCTGCTGCGCTCATTCAAAATGGTGGCTGTTTGAAGATTTTCTTTTTTGTTTTTTGCTTTTAGTTTTGTTGCTACTCTCTGTGGATTTTTTAATCCAATTGCCAAGAAAAGTGACTGACTGTATTGCGTATATGGTGAGCTCAAATAAATTTAATTCTTTCTATTGCTGTTGATTGGCTGCTGCTGCTACTGTTGCTGTTGTAATTGCGGGTGGTTGTTGTAGATGGTATTGCGTCGACAGAATTTAAAATGGTGCAACAGCATAAAATGTATAGAAATTGCAATTGCCTGCGCGTTGAAGCTTATTTTATTTTGGCAATACAATTTTCATCCACTTTTTGACAGGGCTGTGGTTTTTGGTCGTCGTCGTCGGTCGTATTGGTTGGTAGTTGTTGTTGAGTGGTTTCTGTTGTTGTTGCTACTGATTTTTTTTGTCATCGGCAAAGCTGTGTCGACTTCCTTATGCGTTTCACCTTTCCTGTGGCTATTGGATTTGTTGTGGCTGGTAATTTTTGTTGTTATTGCAGGTTGTTGTTGGTTTTGGACACAAAAAAAATCGCTCAAATAGCGGACAAAAGCCGTTTTCTTTGCGTTTTTCCCGCTAGTTATTTTGCTTTAGCTACCGATACCGACCCATTTTCTTCGATGATGAATCTCCGACTGAAGTTAACAAATCGAAAACTATGCATGACAGCCTGGCACGAGTGCTGCCACTTTTCAATTATTTTGCTGAGGGATGCCACCTGGCCCTGTCGCTCATCTCTAAGTCGAATGAGTTGTATAGAATGCAAAATTCAACGTCCAATTTCTCTTAAAATGTGTGTTATATTATCACAAGGGATACAAAGCGTTAAAAAAATTGCATTTGGAACAGCTTCAACATGTGTTTAGATTCCAATTGGTAATTGGCATCGATACTATTCGATAATAGATAAAAATCTACAGATTGGTTTCGATAGTAGTTCTTTGCACTCGATTTTTCGGTTAATTGATATTAAAAGCAACCGTCAATTATAATTAAAAATTATAGAAATCCAAAAAATAAACACAAAAATGACAATATGTTTTAGCAATCCAATCATTTGCTAAATGAAATTTGATAAATTTCTCAAATTATTGCTATTGGTCCGTTGAACAGGGTGGGTGGAGCCTGTTTTCCTTACTCCCACCAATCCAAAAGCACTAGACTCTGAGATTTAATTGCCCGCCACTGCGCCTGCGTATGTAAACAAACCGCCAAAATCTGGTTTCCTTTGAAACAATTGCGAGCCATTGCGTTGAAGTGTTTCCAAAAAATAGTTTCTTTTCATGTGGCATTTACTGCGTTACAAATCTTCGCTAGCTAAGAAAACTTTTCATCACCGGTTTGCCATTTGAACTTTAAGTTGGGTAAATGGCCAGCGAGGACTGTGAGGGGAGTGGCGCGTTGGTCGTTAAACGCCCGCGAAATGCGTCCAATTCGAAATCCTTGAAACTCATTGAAACACCAAAAATTTCCAATCGAGTTCCGAAATGTGCGCGATGCCGTAATCACGGCATTATATCTGAATTACGGGGCCACAAAAAGCTATGCACCTACAAGAACTGTAAATGTGCCAAATGTGTTCTAATTTTCGAAAGGCAGCGAATAATGGCCGCCCAGGTGAGATTTAGGTGAAATTAGATTATACAAATATCTATTATAGTATCAATCGTTTCAATGCTTGTATTAAACGGACCCTTCCATTTTATCATCTTTGACGGAGGTATGTTCATATAATGGGTTAATAGTTATTTTGTACGATTGAAATTTTATTTCAGTTGTTGATATTACCTACCTTCAAGACTCGTATATCCCAGATTTGCTTCAGATATCTTCATAAGCAAAAAGGATATGCAACTAACAATGATTTCAATCTTCGATCATATGGAACTACAGAGGAAATAATGAGGATATATTTGATTGGTAACTTGCTCTGCACGAATAAGACAAGTCTACGTTCCAAGTTTAGTGTTCTCTGCTGTTAGGTGCTAAGGTTTTCTGTTGCTCATATTAATAGTCTTTGTAGTTCATTGTTTTTTGTACGCTTAAAAAAGATAAGACCTTGATAGTTTTAAGGAATTGTTTTTATACCCCAGAAATAAAAGGGTAAGCTAGTTTATTGTTTTCAACAACTAATGGAACTTTAAATTTAAATCTTAAATTTCAAGCTCTCAGAGAATATTCAAATATTTCTTTAGAAAATGCCAGTTAGCCATTTATTGTTTTCACTTGCCTTAGGTATTTTTTTTTTTTTTTTTGCATTAACGCATTTATTCTGTCTGTGCAGCCAAAGTTTCTGTGTTCTAATTTGATAGACAAATACCCGTTGGGGTGCATTCGACAAATCCAACCCAACCAACATGTTATGTAAACAAATGAAATTGAATACGTTTAGCTGTTAACTGCCAGATTTCCCACAAAGTTCGTCCGAATAGGAATAATGATGAAAAGTTGTCAAACGTGGCAGCAAATCGAGCGAAATATCCGCTTACCATATGTTTGCACAAGTGTTAATGCTGGAATGGAGTTGGACGTACAGCTTTAGCTGGAACCGGACAATGCCCAAAGGAATTGGCATTTCATTGGCATTCTGTTTGGTTTGGCAGCGAAACTGTGTAAAAGTCAAACACGGACTCCGAATCCACACACTTGTCGCATATTAATTTCAATTGTACGCATCAAATACATATTCTCTTTGTTTTTTGGGGGATTGGTGTGTTTATTTAAAGGTCGCCCTCAAGCGTCAGCAGGCTGTGGAGGATGCGATTGCATTGCGTCTGGTGGCCACCAAGACGGGACGCAAAATCGATGCACTGCCGCCGGGCAACATCTTCGGGCTGACTGTAACCGAACCCAAGGACCTGCAGTCCCTGCCAGACTGCCATTCCGATGAGGGAAAGCAAATGCAATCGGCGGTCGCAGAGCAGCCAACAGAAGTCAACAATGTCGCGCAGGATCTGAGCGCTACGCGCAAGGATAATACTGTTCGAGCTGCCAGCATGTTGGTGAGTTGAAATGTCTTTCAAAATTAATTTAAAACTGTGATGTCTTATTCAATAAAAAAAATAATTGGGAGATCACGTATGTATATGTATTATGGTTTTATAATATCATTTAAAAACAAATTATTAAAAAAACGTTGGAAATCTTTCACAATATATGATAATAAAATTAATATTACTTATATAAAACAGCCTATAACGTTTTTGGGAAACAAACATAGTTTGTTTGTATTTTCGCAAATAAAAACTTCAAAGAGATTTGATATCTCCAGAATTCTTTTTATTTTTATTCCATAAAGAACCGACAAGTTTAATAAGAATTACACAGACATTGGCTGATGCGAATGCTTTTCTTGATAAAAAGCTGTTTCTTAACTTCTGAAGGTATTTTCAATTAAAAAGATAACTCCATATAATTAGCCATCTGTAAAAAATTAAGAAAAAAAGTCACATAATTTTTGAAGCTTAAAGGATTTCTGCGGACAACATTTTAGTATGTAACAAGCAAAAGGAGGGACTCCATAAAGTATATACATAATTTATTAGAAATTTCACAACCTAATTCCACAATATTTAATTTGCAGAGGATGGTGGTCTCAATTATTTTATTTAGATTATCAGAAATTTCAAAATTTACATATTTTAATTTAATTTATCAGAAATTTCACAATTTATTTATTTTTTGTCAATTTGTGATAGATATTTCACAATTTAAATCTCGATTTTCCATCACTTAGGTACTTCGTTTGAGAATCGCAGAGAAGGGCGGCCACAATATTTTTTTATTTAATTTAATTTATCAGAAATTTCACAAATTAAATCTCGATTTGCCAACACTTATGTACTTGGTATGAGAATTTGCAATTTTTTCGTTAAAATATCTTTCTAAAGTACCTTTCCTTTTATATTTTTCGATTTTAGGAAACAACTCCAGTTTCTCAGACGGCAATCGATATGTTGGCCCAATTATTTCCGCAACGTAAACGCTCCGTGCTGGAGCTAGTTCTGAAGCGTTGCGATCTGGACTTGATACGGGCCATTGAAAATGTGTCGCCCACTTCGAGGGCCACGCCCACCCAACTCATTCCGGCAACAGAACCGCCGCAGTCGTTGCAGTTGCCAGGATCAGGACCCCAGCGGAGCAGTGCTTTCAAGCCGGTCATTGCCGATCAGGTAAGTACTCCACTATACTACTAGTTTGGAAATCAAATCATCAGCTATAAGGACTGCCATTGCTTTGCAGTATGGTCGAACCAAGTTGGAACTGAAGTCCAGCGCTTTGGTCAGCTCTTCGTCAACGCTGGGCGCCCCAGCGACGACCATTTGCGCATATCCCAAGTGGTTCGTACCGCTCTCTTTTCCCGTCACCATGGGCCATCTATCGAACCTGGCCCCACGCTGTACACTGCCCAATTGTGCGTGCTTGGAGAGCTATCAGTTTCATTGAACTATCAACTGTCTATGAAATTACAAATAACAATAAACAATTATTAAATTCTAAATGCACAAATTATTTAGTTTAGTTTTACAATATTTTAAAAATTTGTAATAGAAATCTCAGCTTAGCTTTGGCAGAGTTGTGGAGGATTCATTGAAAAATAAAAAGATTATCTCGTTTTTTCCTAAACTTAGGAGAAGTCTGGTGACGCTATCTCTTATACTTTCCCAGATGCTTACGTTCATACAGACGGACAGAAATATCTGGAACGACTCGTCTTGTCAAAATCACGAACAAAACAAACGAATAAAAGCAACTTTTTAGAAAAGTTGTTCAAGCACACGTTCCCTTTCTTTTCACGTAATGAAGAAAGCTGAGAAAATGATTTCCTTATAATATTAGTAATAACTTTTAAAACTAAGAATTTGTTCTCTGAAATTTAGAATTTTATCTAAATAGGAAGCAGTTTGTTTTGAACTTTTTAATGGGTGTTGTTTTTAAGCGATTGAAATGGAATTTCTAAATACTTTCGCTACTTTTATGAAAAACAAGCTAAAAGTTTAATAAAATTAAGCACCTTTGTGGAACTAGATTTTCCATTTAAAAAAAGAAAACTAAATATTCAGTGCTTAAGATCTTTTTTAAATTATTGTTTTATGCGCCGATTGCATAATTTTTTCGTAGATAGAAAATAAGTTGTCTGCTTTATAAATTCTAGATAAGAATACGTATTTTCTAAAAATATTAGGCAAAAGCTGTTATTTGAAAAACTATTTTCTATTAATTTTAATTTGGAGCTGGGATTTTTTAATTAAAGAGAAATATTTTTTCACTGCAATAATTAATTCTAGAAATTTCTAGCATTTGAAAAGGCATTAAGCTTTTCCGTGTTCGAAATAACTTTTCCTGTTTACTTTGGAATGCACCTCATATACCAGAACTGTACCAATCCATTCTAACAATATTGTTTAATTAATTGATTTACTTTTAAAATACAAGGTTTGTTAGTCATTAGACTAAAATAGTTATCTTCAAAACACTTACCAGATATCAGCTTGAAGATAACATTTAAGTATATATAAAATATTAATTTATTAGTCAGAATTTATTACATATTTTACTGATGAAAAGATAGACCTTAATTATGTTAACAAACTAGTTAATTAGTTATCTTATTTCTATACTTATAGTATGATATTAACTTATACTTATGTACTTAGCTTAATGGTAATCAGGAACTACTTACTTTCTAAAGGAATATCTACAATTATTTTAATGGCATACTCACTAAGATCTTAGCTATGAGTAAGGATTGATGTTCCTCCTGATATTTGTCAACTGAGCTTTATCACTTCTTCCTGTTCGGCGTCGTCGTCTTCATCGTCCTCCGATAGGTACATGCGATCGTCCTCATCGCTTTGCGCAGCCCCTGCCTCCATTTTATTGTCCGTCGCTCCCGAACTTCCGGCCTCGGAAGACATGTTTTTCGTATTTCCGCCGCTATTCAGACTTCGCTTAGACTGGTTGGCCCGTCGCCATTTGGCGCGACGATTCTGAAACCACGTCTTCACCTGGCGATCCGTCAATTTTAGCTGCAAAGCCAGGTGACGACGCTCCTCGGGCGACAGGTACTTAGAGCTGGAGAAACGGGTCTCGAGATTTTTCGTCTGTTGTGAGGTGAAGCGTATTTGGCCGCCCTTCCGCTTTACGCCGAAATTCGACATATAGAAACTAGCAGCGGGGTAGGCGTTACAATAGAGTGCAGCGGCAGCGCTCGCGGGATTTCCAAAACCTATTGAGAAGCCATAGAAGAATTGGGTTTGTTAGTTCAGCTAAATAGTTATGCTTCTTCAATATCGAAATCGAACAAAATTCATATTAAAACTTGGATATTTTATATTTTTTTATGGGAATTGCCTACCAATCTTCTTCTATGCTTTGCTCTTTAAACGACTATTCCCAAACTATCTTATCTTTAAATTAAAAGCTGTTTTCTATTCTACAACTATTTGGCATACATGGTTACCATAAGCAATCCACGAGTGATACAAATCTATTAGATATTTGGGAGCTACAAAAGTGCTCAACGAAAACGATATAGCTATCCACTTTTAAGTGGAAAATAGACATGGAATTTTAGAAAATTTAACCCAACATCGCTTTTGTAAGATCAAACATTTTCAATCAAAGTAAATTAAAAACGTTCCTTTTCTTATAGGTACAGAGTTATAATATAAGGCTTCGGCTTTTCTTAGCAGAGAGCTATACTTAATTATAAGATTCTTATCTTAGCTAAAACGATTCGGTTCTTAATTTTTCAAATCCATATTGAGAATAGTAGCTAGGAATAACAATGAATTCAAAATGATTAAATGATGGTACAACTTTATTTTCTAATTGCATTGTTTTCAATACAAAAATTTAATTCTAAGCATTTTGTTGATTTGTCTTCGTTAGTAAATTTGTCTGGAGATCTAATAAATCGGAATTCAAAGAGTTATCAATAAGCAAGCCAAGTACGGATATACTTTCCTGACACAAAATCCGTCAATAAAACTTAAAAGTGCTAATATAAGACGAAAAGTCATTAGAAAGCCTTTCCGACTATCTAGTGAGTATAGTTTCGATTGCTATAAAGTTATATATTATTTCATATTGGAATGCCTAATAGATGAAAAAAGTTAGTGACTAGATTTGAATAACAATCTGCTTAGAAAGTCATGAATTTAAATAAAAATCAGAACCAAAAGAACCTTTTTTCATTCCTTTGCATATCAACAATAATTTGCAAATAGTTTACATTCATCTTTTCATCTTTTTCATTTCGTTGCAACAACGAAACCTCCTTGAACTGAAAAGTTTGTTAATTGTAATTGTCTGTGATTGGTCGGCCAATAGCATTATAATAGTCCGTCCCTTTCATGCGCTTATCAAGCAATACTATCAACTACTCGACCAACTACGAGCACTACAACTATGGGCAATACGTCAACGCCCACTTGGAAATATTGGAAGTCCAATACACCTGCGTAACAACACTTAAGACTTGTAGGTTTCGGGTAATAAAGATGACGTGTTTGATAGCGAAATGAGCAATAAAGTATTGGTCATTACCTACAAAAACTCCCGATATAGCACACTAATTCACTGAGCAATCGTTCCATTCTTGGCTGGAATTACCTCAACGGTATTCGCGCAAAAGCCCAAAAAGACATTTATGTATTCATTTATATTTATGAATTGTTCATAACGAACTTAAATATATAATGTGTTTAATCTAAATTGTGTACAAATAGACTTATTAACGCTTGTTTCATTAAGTGGCGATAAGCCACTTGGTCCGCATGCCAGAGAATCGATTCAAATCAAATCTGAATCTTCACAACCCCTCACTTCCTTTATGGTGTGCTCGAAATAGTACCCTAATCGCTCGAAATTAAGTTTGTTATTATTATTCTGCTTGTCTATATCATGTACATGTCCAATATATATATCAGGTACCAATGCCCACATCACCCACTCAGCACACGATAGACGACGACTCAATCGCTTATCTCAATCAACTGGCAATTGTCGTCGCAAGATGATGGACAGCGCCTATTAATCGCTCCTAATAGCATTTTTAGTTTAGATAAGCCTTCCATAAGGGCACAAATTCCGAGATAATACACCTCCGAGTAGCCGAAGTGATCATGCTCTGCATAAAGATTTAGTGTAGATATGTAGAATTGAATGCGTAGCGATCAAGAATATAAATGGAGTATTTTATTAATATGCTATTAAATTTTAAGTTGATGGTATTCTTTAAAAATTTAAACAGATCTATGCCATCAAGAATATTAATATAAAGTTAATTAACTTGTTATAATCGAAAAATTTGGAAAAAGGTACACAATCTAATAAGATTTCGCTTTCCTAAATCAATATTGAACTTACAATTTTGTTCATCGATTTTTAATATTTCTTCTCAATCGGTAAACATCTGTGAGCAGAAGATACGACTAGGTAGCATCTTCTTAAAGGATATTTCGTTAAAGGAAAATGGGGAAGAAATACCGCAACAGACATTGAGAGTGTAGTGTCAATCTATCATTTCAGCTTAGATGGTTGATAAAATGTTCAACAGTGGAGAAAATCCACTTTGATTGACAATGAAATGTTGCGTATTATTGACAATAATTATTCAGAGAATATGAAAGCACCTCAATATTAGCAAACCACAGCACAGTAATGCAAACAAAGATATAAGCCGATAAATATTAAAAGCAAATTCTATCTTGTTACTATTTTTATCAATCTGGAATACCATCTGGCTACCAATCTTGATCTCTAAACAATTTATACTATGTTGACGCAATTTATATGTTATTATATTTTAAAATGATTGTCAAAATTGCTGATAAAATTCCATTAACGGTGTGAGTCAGCACTGATATATATGATATTGATAAATATTAACTGATATTTTAATTCTTTTGGCTAGTAATTATAATTTATTTCGAGTCTTATAAGTTCAACTGCTTGGAAAAACTAATCAGACAGTTTTGCAGATTTCAGAGCTATTATTTTATGTTACAAAAGAGTTGTATAATTTTACATTTTCTCATGTTTCTACATTTTTTTAAAGAGTTTTATTGAAACGTATGTTTTTCGCTTAGATTAAAAGTTTTTTTTTTTTGAAGAACTAATTACCCTGTTTTTGAGTTTAGAGATCCACTCTTTTGTATAAGAACGTTATTTTAATACATTCTATGCTCGAAATCATATCTTTCATCAATCGTCCTATATTATATATATTATGCATACTATAATATATCGAATTTTTGATCACATTCAAAAGCAACATCATAAATAAGAACAGAAATCCCTAACCCTGTGCTTAGCTATAATATCGTAGCTTTGTTTTTTTTTTTTGGTATCTCACGGTTCCTGAACCGTTTCGAGAAACTAGTCCACACAGTTTTTTTTAGAGCACCAAATGAATGCGGACTGCTTATTACATCAATTTCAAATAAATAAGTGTTATTTGTCATTTAGATAAGGGTATAAAGCGACAAATCGCCAGTTGGTGGATTGAGGGTTAATGTGCGTTTGACCCAAAATATACCCACGGTTGTGCGTGTGCGTCTGACTGAGTGTGAGGGTGTGTGTGTGTGGCATTATATCTAAAACTCCCCCCTGCCCTTTTTGTGTGTGATTCGGAGCTATGAAGTGGCATTGGCGCCAACACTTGACTTTAACAAACATCAACACACTATTTATAATCACGCTCATGGTTACATTAAACTTCATTATGGTACGTAAGCGCATTTTTGGGGAGATCGAATAGAGTAGTAGCTGATTGAATGGGTGGCATTTACAACCTTGTGGGTTATCTTTTCTTTTTCATATTCGACTTCATGTGGGTAAGACTACTGACAATGCTTTTTGAGTTTAAGGCGCACTACTTGTATTCTCAACCAAACTCCTCTTCTCCTAGTCTTTTCGAGGGAAGTTCGGCTTAGATACGATTGTGAACGGGGGCAGTACTACGTACTGTTTAAAGAGCATTACAACATATACAATTTCACCATTTTTTCACCCATTTGTGGGCTAAATTCGCGCTTATCCTATTTCGCCAGTTCAGCAGATACGATTGTGAAGGGGGGGCAGTACTACATAGTGTGTACTGTTTAGCGAGCATTACAACATATAAAATGTGACGATTTCTTTCACCCATTTGTGGGTTAAATTCTCGCTTATCCTATTTCGCCAGTTCAGTATTGACGCAAATGTCTGTCCAAACGTTCAGTAACTTATGTATCTCAAGTACTTTTTGGTATGTGAGCTGATGAATGAACAAAATAGCCAACTAATTAATGAATGAGGACAAACTGATTTGAGATTAGACCATGATTAAGCAATTTATTTTCTAAATCTAACAATTATTAATTTTCACATAAATATACTTTAAGCAGTACATCAAAAAAGGAAAATTGTCTTATGCTATGTATGTATATGAATAATTTTGATAAATGTGTGAAGAACTCAACTGCTAGTCTAATCGTATGTTCAGTTTGAAATATTAGGGCTTGAAAAGCTACGGACTGGGCTTCAAAGACTAAATTCGATTCAACATTTTATTTATTATGAATGTTATTTATCTGTCCTAAGCCCTTAGAACTTCCTTCATAAAGTGACTCTATAGAAATGGCTATTTAGGATTTTATTCGGATTGAATCTGTGGCTTTTCATGTATGGAAAGTATTTATTTATTTTTTATGTTCTATAGAGGAATATAGCTCTCTTTTTTCTTTAAATCCATATCAATTCCACTTGACAAATCGGTTCTTAACAGTTTTATTAATGTCCAAGTAAGCCACTTATCTTCTAATTAAATCACTTAGCAATATTAAATGTTAGTCATTTAATTTTTAGGGACTGGAACCGATTATTACTTTGAAATCCGTCTTTTAAATGTCTGGACTAAAGATATTCTTTAGAAAGCAAAATCACTTCGATTTTGAAGATAATACAATTCTCTCAATTCTACACAACTGTGTTCTCTAAAGCTGTTTCCAATTTCTTTATGTAATGTAGAATGTTCCGAAATTTCGTTTAAAAAAAACATTTCGACTTTTTGAAATACAAACTCACCTTTGCAGTCCATAAACGGACTATATTGATCGCAATACAATTCTCTCTATCTTTAGGGCCCAAAATCACTTCCAATAATAATACAATTCTCTCAATTCTACGCTTCTGTTTGCCCTAAAGCTATTTCCAATTTCTTTATGTAATTTAGAATGTTTTGAAACGCAAACTCACCTTCGCAGTCCATAAACGGACTATATTGATCGCAATATGCCGACGGCGTGGCAGCAGCTGCGGCAGCAACGGCGGCTGCCTGAAAATGTGGCATGAAGAGGGAGGTGTTCTTCTGCAGGTTCAGGACTTGCTGATAGAATAACGAGGCGGGATCTGGATAGACAGGATTGAAGCGCAGCGTTGTGGGCGACAGCAGGGTGGCTGCCGCACTTGGCTCCAGATTCTTGAGTGAAAATTGTGAGGAGGCGGCAACATCGGCATGTGATAGTTCGTACGATGTGGAAATTGGAGCGACATTATTGGCGGGTGAGTTGCTGGACAGGCTGGCTGGACTCTGTGGCGGGGTTGAAACAGAATGTGTGACTAATTTGACAGCCTCCCGTGTACTGGTTTGGGTTTTATGCTCCAAGATATTGTCAATGGAGAACAATGATTTGCTTGATTTGGTCGCCTCCATTGCTGGGGATCGGTTCCGAGCGTATTGAAATCGATGACCAGATCGCACAAGCGCTGGCAGTGAACTAATTGCTGAAGTCCAATAAATTGTACCAAATCAGATTTTACAGAATATAATAGATTGTACATATAATGTTGTGCTAATGGGTAGATACCTATATTAATAATAATAGAGCGGTATGTAGATATGCCATGAACCATGCTATCTCACAATTGAGCCGATAAGAATGCTTCGCACCTATACCTAGCAGTGTATGTATGGCGGATCGGGCCATCGTCTTGTTGCTCGTCGTGTACACCCAATCGTCGCACCGATGCGATTCACCAGCTATATAAATCAAAACACTCGGTGGCTTATTAAACCCACACACAATCACATATCTCTTGTTCGAACCACTTTTGATCTCGCTTCCACCCATGCTCGGGCTCGGGCTCGGGTTTGGGGGCTTCGAGTGCGTCGGTACTTTTGATCGAGTAATTGTTAATCACTTTGCTTATCTTTTGGGCGAACGTCGTCCTCGTTGTCGCACTACTGTTCTACTACGATTCTTCCTCTATTCTCTCTCTCTCTCTCTCTTTCATTTCTCACTTATTGTTGTTGTTGACGAATTAAAATCACCAATAGATTCTCATGCAGCCCCAGTTAGAGCCCATTATGTGAGGCACCCCCCGACACCTTTGCTGCCCGGCGATGACAACGACATTAGTTTGATTGAGTAATCGGGCCTGTGTTATGATTCTCTAGATTTTTGTGTTCAGTTTTTTTCGGCAGTGCTTCGGTGGCTTTCGAAACAATTTATGCTTTTGTATAACCAACTTGGCGCGGCATTCGCTCTTATCAGGACCCAGTGTGAAGAGCCGTCGGTTTCCCCTTAAAGCCTCCCGGATGATGGATTACTTTTGATTTCGGGCATTGCCGTGGGCGATAAAATGCACAAATAAATAAGTACCAACACAATAAATGCGTTTAGTTGTTATTGCTAGTCTTCAAATTATATACATATCGTGTATTATATCTTTCGGAAAGGCAATAACTTTTAGAAATGTTCACTCGTCGAGAATCGAATTATGGTCTTCACTAAATGCTTAAATAAGTATTAAACTTCTTATTTTTTGCATTTTGAAAATTTAAAAATGGTCTATAAAAGTCATCGTTTAAAGCCACTCTTAAATATTAATTAGACTCTATTTTTTAATTCAAAATTGTAAAAAAATGCAAAAAATAGAGTCGATTAATGCTTGATGTTGATGGTTATAATCTTAACAGCATTTTATCTCAAAGCTGGAGAATTAGTAAGCAGCCTTTCAAAAAGGTCCTGAAGAAAGCTGAACCATTTTAAATGTTTCGGTGGATGGTATAAACTCTCCCATATCTGTTCCCATTTTCGAACGAAATCAGGAACACTTTTCGTTTCGAAGAATTTTCGGTATCTAATATATGCTTTGAAATTATATTGAAAATACCATAAAATATTGTAAAGAGTGGGCCATATTGGAAGAAATTGAATCGTAACTTGAATTCTAAGAAGAGATAAATCCACTACCTCGGCTGTACCTAACGAAATGTACGAATATGTACGAAACCTAAACATGTGATAGCGATTTCTTGGGAAAAGTCATCAGCTAAATCCGGAAAAACTGAAAAGTTGCATAATTTATTGGAGCGCTAGTTAGTTATAACTTTAGCTTTTCTTCCCGATGAAAGTCCATAATTGGATTAGTTTATTCACCCAACAATTTTCCAGCTTTAAATTATATAGATTTAATCACGCGCTTTTTTAATCTGCCTTTAATCACAAACTTTCGACGACCCCCCCTTATGGTAATTATGAATATCCTTACGGAAAATGGCTACAAAAATACTACAAATAATTATAGTTGTTTTATTTTTTTAATGGTATGTTTGGGAAACTACAAATTTTTATTACCAAACGGTTTCACAATTGTCAACGGACTTTCCGCGGCTCCCACCAACTTAATTATGAATCGCCTTTCGCCAAGGCACTAACAACATTTTCAGTTCCCAAAAATGGCTGGAACAAATAATTCAACTCATTGTGACAATTCTTTGCACACGGCCGACCGACCGACATATTGAATCGCAGTTCTATTATTCACAATTAACCTTTAACGGCAATTATTATGAAATAATATTTTCATTTCATTCACGCGACAACGGAAACTACACACAATTCCAACTTTGGGGTAAATCCATATAATGAATGATGGTCGATGAAGTGTCTTTGAAAACAAAAGTCTGGTAAACATAATAGAATGATAAGTAAATGCCTTTCAATACTAATGCAATACTAGACATTGAATGGTGTCTCTGTTTCGGTGAGTTTCTCGCCAAATAGCTAACAAATAAATGATAATGGGAGCTTAAATTCGTTAAATGACACTAAATTATTAGCAATTATCAGGGAGACAAACGGTTGAAAATGCCTTCGGCATAGGACATATAATACATACTTATTAATGGGGGCAAAGGTATAACCAAGTGTGTAAAATATTTGTTTGAAATGTTGCGTGTGATATGAGTGATAAGAGTGTCAAATCATATTTAACAAGACTTACGATTACATAAAATATTTGTACAATTTCCTCTCACATTATAATTAAAGACGCACTCAATTCTTTCAATTATATAACTTTATTGATTTTTGTTGACTTTCGTTTGAGATTTATTACTCATCATATATGTATTTGCTTTCTTCTTTTTTGTTTTTGTTTATCATTCTCTTCAATACATTCTCACACAAAAATGCATCTACTTTACAATATTTATGTAATCCCTTAACTGTTTATCGATTAAACTTTTGCGCAGCATTTAATTTGGTTTTATTGTTAACATTTATTTATTAATTACATGTATATATAATGCATATGAATATATAGTATATATATTGCATATATTTTTGTAAATGTATATATATATATATAGCACTACGTTGCTGCGCGTATTTTCATTTCTAAGCAGTATCTCTTTATTTTCTTCTTTGTTTTTAAATAAATAGATTTAGATTTATTGTATTTATTTTTTGCTTTTCGTTTTGTTTATTTTATGCTGCTTTTGCACCTTTTGAATAAATTGTTGAATTAATTGTTCTTTTGAGTATTTCGCTTGTATGGAATTTTTTTTTTTAAATTAAAAAAAAAAACATATTTCAAATAAAATGATGCTACTTGTTCTTTGACACATAACTAGGCATGCACACATTGAGTTTATGGCGCGTAAGCGAACGTTTTGAAAAGGTTAAATATCTTCTGTTAGATATAATTAAAAGGATGTTTGTTAGTTGAATGGTTCTCTCGAGTTGGATTTTTGGTTTGGAAAGCACTACGCATTACGTTTGAGTTCTGAGTATTTTGTTAAAGCAGGCTTACGCAATAAAATAAAATTAAGTATTTCATAAATTTAGTAGCAATTAGTAAGAAATTCGAGTAGCAAAATTAGCTTAGTTTTAAGGTAGTAGGAGTTTCTCTTTTTGTATGAATACAAATTGAAGTACATATGAGTAGAGATTTGGTAACTATAAGTCATATTTAGGGGTAAATTATAACTTTATTTTTTTTTACATACATAGGCATGCTCATTGGTTCGGATCCTAGCTACCAAAGTTAGCTTCTTTAGTAAAGGGGTACTTGATTCTTCTCCATCATCTTTCTTTAGTTTATTTGAAAGTGTTAGTTTGTGTTAGGTTTTGTTTTTTTTTTTTTTTTGTGTACACATATCGTATCGTTTGGTTAAATTTAGGCTCTAGACAAGTTTTGCCACAGTCGTCGTATCCATGTGCTGTATGAGTGTGCGCATAAAGGACATCTCCTTGCGCGCATTCTCCAATATCACCTTCGGATCATCGGAGGTGCAGCGCAGGCAATTTGGAGCAAACACCATGGCCAGATTCGAAGAATCCATTTTTGTGCAACTGACTACTTCGGGAATCGAAAATTGTTGCAGAAAATGTATTAAATACGTTAGGACCTAGAATAGCAGAAAGAATTCATAATTAATTAATAATAGCTGCAAAGATAAATGCCAAATGCGTCTTACCAATTGATTTATTTCGGGCAACTTATTAACTATTTCTTTGGCTTTATCGGGATCCTCGGTATTGACGCAGTCCTCATAGTATGCATCGGGTATAAGCGGATCATACAGTTCGCGATACCACAGTTTCAGTAAACTAGCAGGCGCGTGAGCATCCGCTGAAGACATAGAAAAATAATAAGAGGTAGTAAGTTCTTTGATCCAAATAAGTTTATTTACAAATTGACTTGGCCTCGTGAAAGATATGAACACTCATTCAACTCACCCATTGTGTTCTTATAGTCAGGAACATCCCACCGATCCAGGCGATTCTTCATATTATTCACCTCATCCACATCGGCCGAGACACGAAAGATGCCTTCGGTTTGTTTGCCATTAAGCAGAAATACCTGAAATTGTTCAAGTGTTAAATTGTTCGAGAGGGAATAAATTTGCTTCCATTAATAAGATCCACTTACATGCTCGGAAAGCGTTGTTTGTATCCACGGTAGTTTGTGGCCGGGAAACTTGTCCTTTTGCAGCTCCATTACTTCTGAAAGCGTGTTGCCAAACATGCTGTTGCGCAAAATTTGTTGCTGAAAATGATCATGAAATTAAAGAATAATTAACCACTGTAGTTATTTAGTGCTTACCCTGGCCTGCTCGACCTCATCCTCAGTGGGCTTTTTTGCGAGGCGTCGACCACTGCTGCCTATGCGATCCAAGCGCCGACAACAAACCGTGGCATAGTGCGAGATTTGAACGTGTATGGGCCACTTACAGACCTCCACGAAGGAGGTGGCAAACGAGGGATCCCGATGGCGATTGACGTAACTGCAACGAAGATATTGGTAGTCAGTGTAAGGATTTATTATATCAGTACTTTTCTTACTTGAGCAGCGTGGGTTGAAACGTGGGCGAGGGTGGCACAAAGGACAAACAAATAGCCATGAGTTCCCAGCCACGAATCAGAGATTCGCGCTTCGGATTCTCCGTAGTTTGTCGGCACAATTGCACATAAAGCTCATCCCGTAATCTGTAAGAGTGAAACAATAAAAATTAAAATTAAATAGCATTTAATATCAGCAAGAAATTCCATTCCTAACATATTGCTGAGTCGGCAAAACAAACGCTTCTTAGAGAACAAGATTAAATTTGTGTGGAAAAATATAAAATAGTAAGAGCTTTTGGAGTAAGCTTTTAAACCAAACAAAATTTGGATTAATACAAGTATATAGCAGGCACACATTTAGAATTATGGATAATCATGAAACTGCTTTTCAAGCCAGCATATCGTGAACACCCTATTTGTGAGTCTTAAAAAGAAAGAACGTTTGTTTCCGTTATTAAAATTATATTATTTTGGCTTATTTAGCAAACATTTGGGATCATTAGGAAAGGTTTATGAACACAACCAATGTCTATATAGTACAAGTATAAACAATTCCATTGATTACTTACTGCTGTTGTGGTAATGAGGCGGTGATTATATCAATGGCCACCGAATTTAGGCTCATGCCCATACGCGCCTTCCGATCAGCCATATAGATTTGCACCAGCTTGAATAGCTCTATGGCGGTCTTCTTGTCCGCCTTGTCCCGCGATAGGGCTAACATAGGTCGACTAATCGCCTCGGCTGTCCAGCTAAGCATGTCACGCACCGAGGCCTTTTTACGAAAGATGCCCTTCGAATGCAGATTCAAATTGTCTGCGGCAAATTTCTCAATATCACATTCCTTCATGCATGCCAACGTTGTGACGCCACCACCACCGCCACCGCTACCACCACCGGGCGCACGCTCGCTGGGCGGAAATATTTGCTGTATGGTGGGCTTTAGCGAGGGCGGTGCCATTTTGTGGCCAGCACGTGACATGCTCGCGCTCGCTGCCACAGCAGCTGTTTGTTGACCAGCAACTAAGCTGCCGCTACCATTGTTGGTATCATCTTTGGGAAAGTGTTGGTGGAGGCCAAAGCGTCCCGTGCCTGCGCCGTCAACCACACTCGGCGGCATAACGCCGGCCGCAATTCGCGAAATCTGTCGATTGGGCGATGGCAGCGTCTGAGATTGTTTCTGCTTAGCATCGTTGGGATCCAAATGCAGTGGCTGGTGTGGCGGCGGTGGCGGCTGACCGTGCTGGCCAGTGTATGGCAGAGGTGGTGTATTAGAATAGAGCTGATGCTGTGATGGATGCTGCTGCTGCTGCTGTGATTGATGCTGCTGCTGCTGCGACTGATGATGCTGCGATTGCTGCGACGATGGCTGATGATGGTGTTGGTACTGCGATGCCAATGGACTGTGCGATACGGTGTCGTAGTACGAGATCTGATAGCGTGGCTTGGGCTTGGCACAGGAGTCATTGTTCCCACCAATGCCTTCAAGCACAGCCTCCACATTGTCCGAGCTGTGAAAGAAGTAAGCAGAAATTCGAATTAGAACTTAAACATACAGAACGTTAGAGATAACTCCCATTTAATTGAAGTAGCTTTGTAAGCTTAAAAGTTAATGGTTCCTAAGGCAGATAAAAATGATAATAAGGTTTGAAATAAACCTAGTCTTAGAGAAGCCCACAGGACAAAATGTATCTACTTAACTGTTGTATTAAGTTAATAGGTTATTGATGGTAGACGGAGTGGCAATCGGTACATTATACATTTTGCTCTAAGGATATCCTACTTTGCAGATCCCATAAGCTAAAGCAGTTAAGCATACATATCTCACAAAGTAGTTTAGATTTTCGTATTTAATTCATTTTCATATTTAATTACACTGCCTATTACTTCGCGCTTATATCTCGACATAAATCTAAGTATTGTAGACACTTACATGTCCTCACGTCCGGCTGGATCGTAGGGCGGATATTGATACGCATAATACGAGGCACTGTCACCGATATTCATATAGTCATCAATCATGCCATAATTGTGCTCCAAATAACCGCCATGCGTATCTGAGCCACCATCCGAATCCTCATTGTCCGGCTCATGACCAGAGAGCGAGTGCTCCGACTGACTATCCGAGTGATACGAGTCCGAATCAATGGGATCGCCGTACTCATAGCGACCGGACTGCTTCGCCTGCTCCATGATGTAGGTGCGCAGTGGCAACAAGTGTGGCATCTCCTGATCCCAGTTACTGTACAAAGGCGAAGTGTTTCCATTATCGTACTCGCCCTCGCTATTGTCTGCATGCAGATGATGCTGCTGCTGCTTGGAGCGTCGCTTGTCGCGCTTGGTCTCGCCTCCAATATAGTAACTACCGCCACCACTGCCGCCACCACCGCTGGCGCGCTTGTCCAGACTGGAGAAATGACGGAGCGAGCCATGTCCGCTGCGATTATCGGGCGCCGGTTGCGATTGTTGTGTTTGATAATGATGCTGCGACCGATTCGCCGTCGAGTTATTTGACTTCTGACGCTGTCTCGAAGAGTCATTGGATCCGCGCGACGAATGCGTCAGCATGCCAATGTTATCCGAGGAGGGGAAATTGTTGCGCAAGGAGGCGCTGTTCACATTATTGCCGTACGACAGCAAGCCAAGCAAATTAGCCGGGCCCGTTGAGTTGTCGCTCAGATGCGGCGATGTGGGCGGTTTGCTCAGCGAAATACGCTCCAGCTGTAACAGATCCATACCGCTGCTAGGATCCTGCTTGTAAAGCTGCTGCTGTTGCATTGAGACTTGACTAGCACCCGTGCCATGTCCGGGCGAGTGTTGAGGCAGAGCGCCAGCAATGGCGCTATTGTTGGTATTATTTGTGGAGGTGGTTTTGGCATGCCGAGTGGTTTTCGTCTGCAATAAAGAAATTTTGTATGATTATTATAGCAGCTAAAAATGATTGCTTTCGTTAAACTGAAGAAAATAATTCTATGAGCAGGATTAGCTCACAATTTTTCAGTGATCAAATTATTGCGTATGGTTTGGTGCCTCTAAAGTTGGGTTTTTCAAATCTATAATCATTTTTAGGGCTTACGAGCAGAACACCTTTTCGCTGCTTAGTTTTAATCAAATTATTAATTCTAATTCTAATAGATCCTCATTGTAATCAAATAAGCCGGTCGCGAAACTATTTTAAATTAGCAGAGAGAGTAGCTATCATTTGGATCGACTCATATTACGCTAGGAAGGCGTTCTGGGTTCTGTTTAGAGCAAGTATTTATAGCCTGTACCCAAAGGGTGAAAGGCTATACTAGTTTTGTGCGCATGTATGTAACACACAGAAGGAGGCGTGGCAGACCCCACAAAGTATATATATTCTTGATCAGGATGAGAAGCCGAGTCGATATAGCCTTGTCCGTCCGTCCGTCTGTCCGTCTGTCTGTCCGTATGAACGCAAGGATCTCAGAAAGTATAAGAGCTAGAATAACCAAACTTGGTTTCCATATTCTCCTAAGACCGAGAAAGTACGAGTTTGAGTTTTTTTTCGATGCACCCCCCCACTCCCCCGCAATTCGTGTTTTTTCTTATAACTTCCGTAATTCTCGGAATTTTGAAATCAATTTTGGTAGGTACATCCAGTTAGTACTAATGTGTCCGTGTGCCAAATTTCATCATGATAGGTTAATTCTGAAGAAAGTTATAGCCATAAGTAAAATCGCTGCTCATGCGCTGCCTGCAGCTCTGTCGGCAGCGCTGCCCGCAGCTGTTGTTGTTGTTGCTGCTTTGGTTCAACTTTGTGCTGCATACATACACGCATATAAACACGCATAGGTACGTGATGTAAATGTATGCTGTTTAAACTGAACATTAACATGTATTCTAATTTAATTTAATTAATTCATTCATTCATTCATTTTTTTTAATAATTTAATTTTTTTTTTTATTTTTTTTTTTTTGTGGAGAGTACAGGCTATTTTACTGTCGGGCTTGCTCGACTGTAGCGTTCTATCTTGTTTTGTATTGATCTTTCTATTAATAAAGAAAACCAAATAATACAAAAAGAAAATTAAGGATTTAATCAAATGATTTGTTTAGGTTTCCTAATCGAAGATCAATAAATTTGTTAAACCAATGAACTCTCTAATAGAATGGCGAGCTTATATCTTTTTAAGTTCTGAGTCGCATATTGACCAATATAATGACGATTACTTCCAGCTTTCTCACCTGTGGACTTATTGGGCTCTGTGGACTGGAATCACTTGAATGTTTCTTGTAGCCGCTGCTCGCACTACCCGCGTTGCTTGCCACCGTGTTGCTGCCACCACCTGAGCTACTGTGGCTCTTGGCGTTTGTTGTGTGGCGACGGCGTGAGAGCGGCGTATTTTCGACTGATTTAAAATACTTTTCGTGCATGGAATCATCGCTGGCGGCGCCACCGTTTGCCTCACTATTTGTGCGATACGACTTGCTGTGATGACCAGCCGCCGCTGGATTTATGGATGAGGACATAAAGCTTCCTGACCTGGCCAACGAGACCTTGTATTCACGTTCGGGTCCGCCATGATGAGCTCCGGAGCCGCCACCACCGCGTTGTGCGTTGCGTTGAAACTGTTGCTGTGGTGTTTGTTGTTGCTGCTGCTGCTGTTGTGCGTAATTATATTGACGTTCCGAGGGAGTCCTCGATGTGGCCGACTCCGGCGATATTTTCTTCTTCTGCGCCTGTGGCGTATGTACCGAATGTGTGGGTGAGGCTATATCAGATGATTTGGACGAGCAATAACCCTGCATGTGGCTGGGCCGAAGCTGATGATCAAAGTATTTGTCGCCGACGACGACACCACCACTACCACCAACATAGGATGAGGAGGAGGACGAACCATGCGGTAAATTATGTGAGCTGGTACTTTCTTGCAACATTTCAAAGCTGAATATATGTGAAGAGAGAGAGAGAGAGAGAGATACAAAGAGTATTCGATGAGAGGTAAAGCATGAACCATAAGTGTATAGCGGTAGGAGTGTGTTATAATGGTAACGATTTTGAAATCGGATTTTATCCCATTTCTTTACAATTAGTGAATAAAGCGAGGCTAATATCAAGTTCTGTGACACCAAAGCAATAGTGTTATCTATTATTTGAAAACTTACGCGCCATTATCTTTGCCAACGCGTTGCTGCTTCTGTAGAGAACCCAAACGTATACCCTCCGTGCTCGCCCCACCTCCACCACCGTTGGATCCATCATTGAATCGCCGATAGCCGTGCACACTGGACAAGCTCGAATCACTTGATTTGCCAGACTCCTTATAGTGATTGCTCGAATCTGTTTGTGTATATTTATAATTAGATTGCCACTTTATATAAATACTTGTAGTTATCTGCTATTTACCTTGCGAACGCCTGGAAGCGTAGGCTTGCTGTTGCACATCCATGGAGCGAGATGAGTCACCCGTTCCGACGCTGAATGAAAAGAAAATTAGTACATACATACATTTATTTGTATAAAACAAAGGCTATAGTTTATGAATCGGAAACACTCACCGAAAACTTTGTCGCCCACGTGGACTAGAGATCATGTCTGTACTGGAGAGTTTCTCCTCAGAGCTGGCCACAGCGCCATTGCCGCCACTGACACGCTGCGCTCGCACCTTCTTTGAGGCCGCCGACATGGGCGATGGCTGCTGCTGCTGTTGTTGTTGGGTCTGTTGGGGCTTTTGTTTTTGTGGCGTGGTCTGCTCTCGACGCTCACTCGGATCGGTGTTCTGTTTGAGTGTTTGCAGCTTGGCCAGCGGTATGATGTCACACTTACTCGGCCGATGCCAGACTGTCTTCTGTGTGGCGGCATTATAATAGTAGAACCGTTTCGTATTTGTGTCAAACAATTCCCACCACTGTGACGAGTCGGTGCGCTTAATTGGCACATCCTGTAAGTGAGAGTGCGATCATGATGATTGTCAAATGAATGCGCTTTACTTATGGTTGAGTCAACTATAGATATTCGTATACTCGTATATATATTTGGTTTATATGTATGTATATGGGCTTAATGCACAATGCAGCCACAAAAGTCTGTATATATAATTTTACAGGTAATTGGAAGAGATTCGGCGAATCGATCAAGTATTGGCAACCCCTATTGAGAAATTCTCTATATATTGCAGCTCCTTAAACAAACTATCAGTACTATCGTTTGACGTAATTATTGACCTAATATTTTCAACAGATGAAGTCTGTATACAAGGTGCGTTCCAAACAACAGGACTTTTTGAATCTAGCGCCCCCTGGTGGCGCTATCTATATGTCGACTGATGCGTGAGAATCTGCTTGTCGATTGTCCAGTGAGAATTTCATGACATTTCATCGATTGAAAGTGAAGTTATTGCGTTTTAAGTGTCAGTATGTTTGTGTTATCGGTGCGAAAATGAGGTTCGAACAAAGAGCCAACATTAAATTTTGTTGTAAAATTGGTAAAACTTTTACCGAAACGTTTCAATTGATGGAACAAGTTTATGGCGATGATTGCCTATCCCGTAGCAGAGGACACGAGTAGTTTCAACGTTTTCAAAGTGGTCGTGAGGACATAAATGACGATCAACATGTGGGCCAATCAAAATTCGTGATCACCAAAAATTCCATCGAAACTGTGCGTGAATTCATCAAAAATCAGCCGAAACCATCATTGAAATTGATGGAAATGGAATTGAACATCTCCAAAACATCGAAAGGTGTGTGCACGGTTTGTTCCGCAAAAATTTACTGACGACCAAAAATTGCTCTCATCGATCGACGCTTGTGACCGATTATTTGACCAAAAATCACATTTAAACCATTAACCACTCGCCGTAATCACCTGATATGGTACCGTGCGATTTCTACCTTTTCGGAAACGTGCATTTCCCCATGAAAGGAAAGCGTTATGCAGACGTAGAGGCCAATCAAACCTCTTGCACCGGCATACTGGCGGCCATACCGGCCAACGAGCTAAAACACTCGTTCGACATGCTTTTGGATCGTGCAAAAAGCTGTATTGAAGCAGGAGACTATTTTGAATAAAATAAACTGATTTTGCCGATAAAACCATTTGTTCTGTTTTTTTTTAAAGTCCTGTTTACTTGGAACACACCTTGTACTACGCCTAAATCTGGTTTTACACGGTAGATTGGTTCCAGAAACAACCGTGTAAAAGAAAGACATTGATCATATGCAAAAATAGGTGATTGGTTCCTTATCTCTAAAGAAATATATATGAAATTGTTAGTTTTCAAACCGTGTTATATGAAAATCGTGTAAAAAAGGGACCGCGTAAAGGAAGAATTAGGTGTACTTATATTGGACTGATATTTGGTGTAATCCGAAAATAAACGTTGCTTGAAAAGTATATATTATTTTCTAGAATTGAATTTTCTTTGTCCGAAAATCCGAAATAATTTAATATGTTTTAATTTTCTGACAAATAGTTGCGGTTCATTTTATTTTAGAAAATAAATTTTTTTTTATATTTATGTATATATATTTTTTTTTAGATTTATTTTTTAATTTTTTAGCTATTGTTATTTTTTATCAATAAAAATAAACTGAATTTGCTGCAATTTTATCGTAAAAGGGTGCACTTTCTTTTATTTATTATAATGGAAAATCGTTAAAAAGCAAGTAGCACATATTTTTATTTTAGTTTCTTATTTAATTTGTAAGCTGAGAAAATGTAATTTCTTTTTATTCCATTTATTTATATTGTTTATACATACATATGTGTATTTCTATTAATTTATAAATGCAATTGCGTCAAACTTGAAACGGAAAGAAAGCCATTTAGAATAGTCAGACATTGACAGATATTGTTATCTTAACGTTAGTTGGAGAAATAGGTGTTTGTGCCATTGAAGCTTCCGTCACCTTGTGGCGAACTGTCATGACCAAGTGATGGTGCAGCCCCTTTCCCCTCCCCTCCCCCCTGACGGGCACTCTTCAGATAGGCGCGTGTGGTTAATCCTGCGCCCTGTTAGCAAGGTCTTTCTTTCCCCAATAGCTCTCTCCGCACCATACTGTTTCTCTCTTTTACGCCATTACTCTCTGTCTCTGTCAGGGCTATTGCTGCAGAATGCATGCGGTGTTGACCTTGAACTTTTGTTGCAGCAACCCAACCGAGCCCAGCCCTGATGCGTTGCATTGCGCCCGTTTTGTGACATTGTTAATATTTTTTGTTGTTGTTACAGCTGCTGTTGCTGCCACTGTTTTTGTTGTTGTTGCTGTTGTTGTTGCAATGTCTGATAATAACAAAGCGCGCATGTAAGCGCTGCCCTTCAACAGGCACACACACACACACACTATTCATCCATCGATCCATCCATCTATCCGTCCAACAAACCACGTAGCTTTCAGCGTACTCAGCTCAGCTCAGTTCGCCCATTTGCCACCCCCTGCAGTTGCGAATGCAAATAAAAGCTTTCATCTCGGTTTCTTTTCATTTGAGTTACTTTTTTTCAATTTCAAGCTTCAACTGTGGCCCCGACGCGTACTGTGGCAGCAGCATGTTGCATAATTTGTGGGCGCGCCCAGCGTTGATTGGGACAAGGCTGCGCGTCGTTGCCCGCGGGCGGCGGCAGCATCGTCGTTGTTACACTTTTCGCATTGTTGCGTTTTCAACTGTCAGTCTGTTCGTCCGTCCGTCCGTCCGTCCGTCAGTCAGTCAGCTAGGCAGTCAGTCACTTAGCGGGGCTGGCAGTTTTCTCTTTGTCTGATTTTACAACGCATGCCACATGCAGCAGCAACTGAAATAAATACAGGCAATGGGCCTCATTTGGCCTTGTACGATATTCCAAATATTTTGTAATTATGGAAATACAACAACAATAACAACGACAACAGCAGCAACGTCAGCAACAACAATGAGCAACATCTTTATCTCATATACTAGCGTTCACTCATTGATGGCATTTTTGTATCTGTGCCCCACTATAGAACAAAAATTGGAGCAGCGTACAGTGGGTTAAAATTGAATTGAACTTGCAGGAAAGAAATTGTAATAATTTGTACAATTTTTAAGTTATCAAAACTGTTAAATATTCAAATCTGTATAAATATTTGAATGCTAATTTATGAAGATAGTTTTTAAATATCATCTTGCAACTCTCCATAAAGTTAAATTCTTGCAATTTTTATATTTAATTAACTAAAATGTAAGAAATTAAAAAGATACCTAGGAAATAATTTGTACCAAAAAATATCTTTAGGAGAAGTAGTATGTATTTGAATCTTTCAACTCCCAATAAAGTTTAATTTTTGAAATTTTAATATTTCATTAACAAAAATGTAAGAACATAGAACATTAAATATTCAACTCTGTATAAATATTTCAATGCAAATTTATGAAGATAGTTTTTATACTCTGTACATGAAATGTACAAGAGTATATTAGGTTTGCGGGAGCTGAAAAATGTAACAGGCAGAAGGAGGCGTGGCAGACCCCACAAAGTATATATATTCTTGATCAGCATGACGAGACGAGTCGATCTAGCCCTGTCTGTCTGTCTGTCCGTCTGTCCGTCTGTCCGTCTGTCCGTCTGTCCGTCCGTATGAACACCTGGATCTCAGAGACTATAAGAGATAGAGACACCAAATTTTGCACGAAGATGCGTTATGTGTGTATTCTATACGAGTTTGTTTTATTTTTTTGATTTTCCCCCCCACTTCCCCCCTATGGGGGTTTTCCCGATTTTCCATTCGTATAATCGCCTATATCTCGGAGACTATAAGACCTAGGAACACCAAATTTTAGTCCCAGATGCCTTATGTGAATACGCAGAAAATGTATATTTTGGAATTCCCCTCCCTCCCCCCTCTACCCCGCAAATCGTAACTCCCGTAATTCTTGGAATTTCTAACTAAAATTTTGGAAATACCCCCAGTTAGTTATTATGTGTCCGTATGCCAAATTTCATTATGATAGACCGATTTAACAAGAAGTTATAGCCATAAATATATTTGCTGATGCAGCGCTGCTGCAGCGCTGCTCAAGCGCTGCCCGCGGCTGTTGTTGATGTTGCTGTTTGGTTGACTGCGAAAATGCTTACACAGACACGAATAGATGCGCATAGGCATACATAGACTCACACAGACGCAATTGCTATGTAAATGTGCAATTATAAACCCTTTACGTGAGTTCGAATACCGAGAGAGGTAAAATCGATCAAATTTTTTTTTTTATTTTCTTAATTTTTTTTATTTTCTATAATTATTGTAAACATATGTACAGAGCATTTCGAAGTCGGGACACCCGACTTTAGCTTTTTTACTTGTTAAATATAATTTTTCAACTCTCTATAAAGTTAATTCTTGCAATTTTAATATTTAATTAACCAAAATGTAAGAACTTAGAAAGCAGCTTTTAATGTATAAAAAGATACCTAGAAAATAATGTGTACCAAAAAATATCTTCAGGACAAGTAGTAATTGACACAGACAGGCAGACAGACAAAGAGATAGACATATGAACATACATTCACATTGTTTCTTCTGGGTACTGGCACACTTTCAATTTTAAGTGAAGGCTATATACATAGTATATTTTAATTAACTTGAAGTCTTTCCCTTAAATTTAAATTTTACTTATTTTTTATTTGCTTTTGAAAATCCATTTGTTTCTTAAACAATAATAAGCTTATACCAATTGCAATCAAGTACATAGTTTTCACATCTTCTTTAAAAACGTATTGTCAAAAGCACCACCAACATAATAATTTTTACAAATATTAAACGTTCTCCTCCCACTGTACCATAGCTGATTACAATTGCACGAACATTGGCCAACGGCACGCGTTCCGCGTAAATGCATTCGTTTCATTGTCGTCCATATTCATTCATTTCGCCACAATTTTCTCCCATTTTGTGTGCTTCTGTGTCTGCTTCGACTTTAATTGAAAAATAA